GGGGAAAATAGTAATTACCTTTACGGACAAAAAAAAAAAACACGAAAAAAAATATTATATCAGTCACGTGTCACTATTAGAATGCTGAGGCAACTTTCACAGAGGGTAGCGTTTACATTCAGAAGTTATACTTGACTGAGTTTAACATTCTTAACTACAAAAAGCCCATCAGGATTTCAAGGTTAAACAAGCAATCTTCTCATTCTGAAAGTTTAAAAATCCCTGTAAATCAGCTTTTGTCGCATGACAAGCTCGCTTGAAACCACACAATACGTGTACCATATAACAATTCGGTGAATATATCTTAAACTCTGAATCGAAAACAATTTCACCTTTAATACTCTACTTAGTTTCATTGCATATAAGTTTCTTTGATCAGGTACGTCTTTCTTCAACGCTTTGGAATGTGTCATGGTGACTATAGCCTATCTTTGACATAGCTATGTTGTTTGGTACTTGGGAAGTTAGCACTGAAGCACGATAAGTAAATTTACTCAACATAGATCACAACTACTGATTCCAGATGACACACATCCATTTGGTAAGTTTAGTTGTCGTTTGAGTAAAGTCATAGTGTCCTGAACAACGACTTGGTGATTTGTTAAAGTTGATATGTTTAACTCGAAGTGTAGAGACAATATTTACACACACACACACACACATTACGCACAAACATATAAACATATGATGATTGAAGAGAAATTTTATTATTGTTCGTTAGCTAGTACCAATGTCAGAGCAAACTGTGGTTATAAATACATGGTTGTACTTTTTACCAGCACTAGCTTGTGGTTGAATCGATGGTTAATTTTCGTGTGGTCTTTTCAGAAAACAAATGTTAGACTATGATAAAATACAGATAGTTGGTAAACTACATATTAAGATAATTTATATGGTCATGTTAACATAATAAATTAAAATAAGCATGTACAAAAAAAGCGGCTATGTATGTATGTATGTATGCACTTTTCAACAAACACAATTCTTTTCTTTAGTTAGTTATTATATCTGTGATATTTTATTTAAAAGATTTATAAAAAAATTCCAGGTTCAAAAAGTTTAAATTGTTCAAATGTATTCTCACACAATAGTGTAAATTATAACTCTTTTTCTCGGTTATGCTATGATATGAAACTCGGAAAGAAGGAAAGCAAAACATTAGAATATCTTTCTTTTTTTGTGACAGTCATTCGGAATATTGTTTGCCGTGACACTCGACTCAAGAGTTTAAACGTTAGTTCGTCTTATTCTTTTAACTCCTTACATTGCTCATCTTTAATCTCATAGAATGTATCTATAAAAAAAGGCTTATATAACAGTAAATGCGACCAGTTGTTCTGTCTTGTTATGAAGTAAAAGCTCCAAAAAAATATAAACACAAATAAACCTTCTTTTACTTCTAACTCCAAACTTGAAATATCTGTGTAACCGTACAAACCTATATAAGTTCAACTTTTCCTTGAAATAGTCTGACGTCAGAGTTAGTGAAACATAGATGTATGAGTACAAAACGCGTATTTACTGTTCTTCTCGACGTTGACTATGGTGCCACTAATTAGCTTAAAAGTGCCTCTTTTAATCGTGACGTCGAACATGAGGTCTAGGTTTCAGTATGATCAATCAGTAACGTCACATTGTGTTAGACAACAACGCAACTGTTAGTTTTGCGTATTAATTATTATTATTCATTCTGTCACATCGATCGCTTTCCCGCACCTCTATCTGAAGGGAAATACGTCACATTACAGCACTGGCGCTCAACTATGCTCAGAAGCGAGTACATACCTTGTCCGCATTACTGTTGTTGCTTACACGGGTCTAACAACAAAATTCAACTCGACAGGACATGTTATTCAGCCATTTTTTAAACAAAATACAGTGATGCGGAATTAGTCAACATCCTTTAGAACAGAACGAAGTGAAGGGACATTACTTTATAAATATTTCTGTTTGTGTATTTCGTTTACACTAAATACAGTCACGCCACTCAAGACTTGATTCTTAGAATATCTCAATATATGAGATTACAAGGACGATATTGCGTATTTGGAAATATAGTATATTTAAATATTTCAACTGTTATACTTCCTAACCCAATAGGTTTTGGAACAACAGTTACAAAAAAACAACGAAAACGACACTTATCTAATATCTCCTGGTGGGCTGTAGTATGAATCAAGATACCATGAATTAGAAACCAAACATAAAAATCTGTATGCCAATACGAAATCAACGGATTAATGAGTAACAGTTTCAAATTTTATGCTAATGTATTGGTAGAAAATTAAATCAAATCCTCAATATTAGATAACTATTGGTGTTGTTACGCAAATATTATAGTTTGTAAAAAAGAAAGTAAATACAGATACATTATAATGGGTTCTCAGTTTGCAAGGTGGAGGATACAGATGCATGCACTGTTTTCTTCTTGGTCCAGTGATAGAAACTCAGAGACAGAACATTTAATAAACATCAAAATGTGGTAGTAATTAGAAAATAAAAAGTATTAACATAATAATTATTATTAATTTAGAGAGATAAGGAATCGTATCGTGTATAAACAAAATATACAGTTGTAACACCGATATAGTGTATTTTACACTCACAAAAAAGAAACCTATCATTCTATATAGTATTTATTCAATTATGTACAAGCTGCCCAGTGTCGGCTAACAATACGAAGAATTAAATTGTGGCGGAATACTACAAGTTCTTCAAATACCTGCAGAATGATAGGTTTCTTTTTTGTGAGTGTAAAATACTTAAATACACTATATCGGTGTT